AACGTTACGAACATTTTATGTATAAAAAAAGCTTAGGACTTTTTCAGAACTCTAAGTCCCAAGACTTAAGTCCGGTCTGATCCCAAATAGGACTGCCACATTTTAATACTAGTATTAGTAAATGATTGACCTCCGCAAAAATACTGATGTATCTTTAATATACGTATATGGACACACACGAGTCTTTAGGATACTTTACTTTGTTAAACTCCAATGCTGATATAAGGAATCTTGTGTTGGGTTTTTAATATAAATAAAAAAAGAATTTGATTAAAGTAAAAAACAAAATAAAAAATCAAAAATACAACAAATCAAAATGTACGCAATTAATAATAATATTTGCTTGTTCTTGTTCTTGGCATTATTTACAACAATAATAAATTCACTTCCGCGTAGTGATTTCAGAAAAAGAGCACCCAAAGTTGGTGCATTTACTCAATGTGATGGTAACTTCCCCATCGTTGTTACTGAGGATAAATACACTCCGTCAATATTTGTACCTGGTAAAAAGAACATTGAACGTATTGTATGGGATAGCACCGTTGAAATTGAACCAAAAACCACTCTTGTCATGACTGTCACCTTACTTGATGGTACACCAATATTAACACATGAAGAGGATTATTGTGAAGGTGATTCAAAACCCCCTGATATAGATTGTCCAATTCCGGCAGGACACCTCGAATTTACAATAGAATATCTGGTCCATAATAGTCCTAACCAACCTGTGAATGAAACCATCAATTATCTCATAAAAACGACTCGTAAGTTATCTCATATTGTTTTATTAATTTTGCTTGGAAACTGACTCTCTAATAAATATTTGCTAATGTTGTTATTCAGTTGTCAGCGAAGGCAGGACTTTATTCTGTGTAGAAGGCCCGGCCACCGTAGCATATCCTTAATTCATATATTTTATATTTTAATGTAATTTTTTTTTTAATTTTTAATGTCAGAGCTAAATTCACATGTAAACTCGATAAGTGATCATTTATTTATATTATCAAGTACTTTAAACAATTGATTGCTGCGTCTGAATTACATAATTCATAATTCATAAATAATGAAACTTATCTATTAATAGTTTGAAATGCTTTTGTTTTAGTGTTTAAAGGCGCCCAACCTGTTAGTATTGGAAATTGCCACTGTAGATTTCTGTTTTATCTTTTAGAAATATATCACATTCATGATTAAATTGTTTCACTCACTGTTAATTATTTTATTAGCGATTAATATTCATAACAACAGTTAAATAGATAAACCAATTTTTTATTGCATTTTTAGTACCTATAAAAATTAAAATAAGCGCCTAACATCACTATAAGTGCCCTTTTTTACATTTTTTTCTACCCCGACGCTTACATAAATACTTTCTCCTTCATAATTATGATGATGTCAAATTCGTATTTGGAAGAAAATTTGGACCAAATGGTGATTGTTGATACAGAGTTACATACATACTTATTACTATAAAAAAATATTGCATCGAAAACGTACAAAAAATGCATTCCAACACCTTCAAACAGCTTGATTTAATTCATGGCTGTAATATTTACAACTTGCTTTATTTTGCTTGAAGCCATTAATTACACCAAATTTGATGAATTTGATTTGGAGTTGAGAAACTATTTCATAAAATGACGAATGACTAAAGCATGACGAAAATCTAAGTCATTGGCAAAATAAAATTAAAAGTAAAGATGATAGATAAATTTTTTTTGTGTTATCATCTTCAATCTCTGCGCCTTCTAAATTACAATCTTCACTTTAGAACTTGTACGTGAAAATGAAATTGAATCGTGTAATGAATATAATAACTCCATAACGATTTTTGGAAAATTTCTGTGATGATCACTATTACCGTTTAAAATCGGTTGCGTTTACTTCGTCGAAAATTATTTCGTCGACAATCATTTCGTCGAAAGTTTGTTTCATCGAATGTTCATTTTCGTCGAAAATTTGTTTCGTCGAATGTTCATTTAGTCGAAAATTATTCATCCTCGAGCCAGAGACCGAAAGAGTTAGATGTGAGGAGCGTGGGAAGTTAGTTAAGAAATTAGGTGAGGAGAGCGGAGTGTGTGGGAAGTGTGGGGAAAAATTTGTTTAATGAAGTTTTTTTTTTTGTGACGAAATAATTTTCGACGAAACAAATTTTCGACGAAATGAATCAGACCCAAAAAACCTTTATTTTGATGTATTTTTTGCTAGGGTAAACAAATACTACTAAACGATAATCCTAACATGAAGTTGGACTACCAGTTTTATAAGTTCTATAGTAATAATAAATTAAGAAATTGGATAACATGCACAATTTCAATCTCTGGGCTTGATTTTTTTACATAATAATAAATGCAATAGTTAAGTTCTAATTTCCAAGCTTTAAATGTTTATTTTTTTAAATTACATAATTTGTTTATAGAAAAGTATTAACTTCAAATTTGCTCTTTAAAGATTATTTTCATAATAATAATAAACATTTTACTAATATATTAATATACATTGCTGGATGAAATAGAAGATTGCATTTATTTGATATTTTCAAACAAAAACAAATTCGCGTAACAGACTTTTTTCAAGAATGGCTATTAATAAGATGGAATTAATTTGGTTTTTTTAATATTTTTAAAGGTTAGCTTCATTAATTTTTATTTCATCTATTTTTTATATATTTAGAAGTGTAATGATTAAATTAAAAAGTATTTATTTATTAATGCATTA